CACTTGCCACTGTACCTGTGTATCGCTAATTATAAACCGAATGTGTGAAGACAGTTCATACATATCACTCAAAAATTTCTCAGTACAAACTCAGTTGATTCACGCTCGATTTGCTACTAAACAAACCCATCGGTTTATTTTCTCAACAGTGTGACCCGAAGTGACCGCGGATTTATTGACCTTGTATGAACTTATCCATAGCTATATCCTTACACCGAGAGAAATTATCTAGTCTCGGTGAAAAGAACCATTGTCATCTGGTAGAAAATTACTTTTGTATTTTTTGGAACGGAAAACTGTTTTTAGAAGCAAACTAACCTGCCGCACATGAGGAAGTCATTATACTAATAATAAAAGGCGAGACCTCTTTTTGCGGCGCAGGCTTATCACTGAGTAGTAAACCGTCCACAAACAATAATATAGGAAGTCTAGTGACGAGTGTAGTAAGTAGGCTATAGACTATAGGTTTGAGTCGAGATTACTCGCTTTCAGTTTACTCTGTTTTTGCGATAACCAATTATGTGAGAAATACCATACTGACATTCGGTTTTTAAAAGTTGTACGCGAACTAAATGCGTTTGTTAGATACTGACAGAGCAGCCCCGAGTCGAACAATCGCCGCCCGAGCTGTCTTCGTCAGCTAGTTTCACAATATCGTGCAATAGGTGTATTAATGTGATTTTTAGGTTTAACCCCGCAAACAAGACAGGAGTGATGTAATGGGTGTCAACAACTGGGTATGCTGGTACCGTCGCAACGTAGCCGTGAAATATATATATTGTGGGGGGGGGGGGGGAAGGGCGGAAACGGAAAAATATACAATGTTGACAGTATGTGCCAGGCATGAGGCTGCGCAGACCGAGCGGCAGCTCGATAGGGAGTGTGTGGGAGGGTCACCCTCATAAAAAAATTTTTTTTTAAATTTCAGTTTTCTGTAAGCAGTGAAAACACTATTTTGGCATTGTTTGCGGGGTTAAACCTAAAAATCACATTAATACACCTATTGCACGATATTGTGAAACTAGCTGACGAAGACAGCTCGGGCGGCGATTGTTCGACTCGGGGCTGCTCTGTCAGTATCTAACAAACGCATTTAGTTCGCGTACAACTTTTAAAAACCGAATGTCAGTATGGTATTTCTCACATAATTGGTTATCGCAAAAACAGAGTAAACTGAAAGCGAGTAATCTCGACTCAAACCTATAGTCTATAGCCTACTTACTACACTCGTCACTAGGCTTCCTATATTATTGTTTGTGGACGGTTTACTACTCAGTGATAAGCCTGCGCCGCAAAAAGAGGTCTCGCCTTTTATTATTAGTATAATGACTTCCTCATGTGCGGCAGGTTAGTTTGCTTCTAAAAACACTGTTTTCCGTTCCAAAAAATACAAAAGTAATTTTCTACCAGATGACAATGGTTCTTTTCACCGAGACTAGATAATTTCTCTCGGTGTAAGGATATAGCTATGGATAAGTTCATACAAGGTCAATAAATCCGCGGTCACTTCGGGTCACACTGTTGAGAAAATAAACCGATGGGTTTGTTTAGTAGCAAATCGAGCGTGAATCAACTGAGTTTGTACTGAACAATTTTTGAGTGATATGTATGAACTGTCTTCACACATTCGGTTTATAATTAGCGATACACAGGTACAGTGGCAAGTGTTGTACTTCACAGACTGTTTACCTCCGAACTACCTCCGCACGAAATCCCCGATTTGGGTACTTGTTAAAAGAAAAAGAAATAGTACCTGTGCGCATGCCAGTAAAAAAAAACCTAAGAGTTCGCGCATAAAAATGCCCGAACGTACCAGGCGCCAGGTCATCCAGTAGACGTGGTACAAGGGTTAATCAGCGAACTGGATGTATGAGATGTGTTGTTGACGTTTGGGAAAGTAGGACGAGGGGAAATGTGTAGGGAGTGAAGTGCTGTAAAGGGATAGTTAGATGTATTATGAATGGTTAGAGTGGCTGTGGTGTTACGGTGAAATACTATGCCGCCACCGTAACACCACAGCTTTATGATTTGTTAGACAGGAGTGATGTAATAAACTAGTCTTTTTGGTATCCAATCCAAAGGACATTTCTATCAGGGGCCACCTCTCAAAATATTCCAATCTGATTAAAATACAGATCTATATTTCGTTTGGTTTTTTGTTTTGGATACTTTTAATGACCTACACTATATGAAGATCTAAATGGTTGTTCATACGAGCGGCAAGTGGGCCTATGACGTCAGACATTTGATTTACCAATCAGCATAAGTGCTTCTCGGGGCTAACCCACAGTTCCGTGCAAAACATGCCTAAACCTCGCCGTAACAGACCGTTTCATTGGCTAATACCTCATAATATTCAAAATGAAATGAAATGGAGTTTAACGTCCTACTGTTCTGCTCCTAACCTGGGCTAATGAAGACGGGCATACGCCATACAGTGTGCTATGAGGGAAATTTTGCCCGGACAGCGGCACTACGGCCTACTCTTATATCGAATTCCAACTGCCAAGGGATCTTTTACGTGCACGCCAATGTGTACACGGGACCTCGGTTTTTCGTCCCATCCGAACGACTAGACAGCTTTCCTTGTCAGCCCCTCCGTCCTGCATCACTGACAAGGGAGAACCACGCCGGCAAATCTGGGTGAACTTTCTCGGCCAATGCAGGGATCGAACACCCGACCTCCAGGCTAGCGAGCTAGCGTCTTACCCACTTAGCCACGTGATCCCCCCTCATAATATTCAGAACACGTCAATGATAACAAATCTTTCAGATCATAGTGTAGTAAAGACAAGTAAAACGAAATTTTGAACTATAAAAACTAAACGAAATAAGATCTGTGTTTTAATCAGATTGAAAATATTCTTAATATCAACCCCAACGTATATGGGCAATTGAAAAATCTCTTGTATCGAGTCTTCGGATAATGGATTGACTGGGACCAGTTTCTGAAAATTTTACAAATGTTGCCCCCTGCAAATAGTACATTAGAAAATAAGTTTAGTAAATTATTTTATATGGTTTGATTCTTTCAGGTCTTTGTTGGAACTGGTGACATCTCTCCCACTGCTATATCATCTGCAGCTACTGGTAGTGTTGCTTATATCCATCATCAATCTACTGCCACTACTTCATCTGCAGCTATGGGTATTGGAACTGCCACGCTGCCTCTTCCTTCTGTAACCGCTATTGGTAGCGACACCAGTGACAGTAATGACTACAAATAATATGCCTAGATCAGGTAATGATGATTACATGCGAATCTTGAACCAATCCCAGTATTCTTATTCTGATTTGTTTGGTGTCGGGTTTCAGCGAATTCTTAGCAACCTTCCTAAAGGTTTGCATGTAATCATCATTACCTGATCTAGGCCAGTTATTGGTAGTTCTAAGTGATTACTGTTACTGGTGTCGTTAACAATAGCTGTTACAGAAGGAAGAGGCAGCGTAGCAGTTCTAATACCCATAGCTGCAGATGATGTAGGGGTAGTTTGATGATGGATGTAAGCAGTACTACCAGTAGCTGCAGATGATGTAGCAGTGGGGGGGATGTCATCAGTTCCAACAGTAACCTGAAACAACCAAACCATATAAAATAATTTACTAAAACTATTTTCTAAGTATTTGCAGGGGTCCCTGTTACCAGCCATTCCATCATTCGGAGACTCAATGTAAGAAAATTTTCAATGGCCCATATACGTTGGGGTTGATGTCAACAATATTTTGAGAGGTGGCCCCCGATAGAAATGTTTTAAAGGGCATGGAAAGATTTTTTTTTGGACTCTGAAAATGATCCCAGGATGAAAATTAATTTTTGACCCTACGTCATATCATTTATTTGAAGAACTAACCTGAGGTGGTGTAGGAACTTGGCTCTTTTGAGAGCCCATTTCCTCATTATGGACAGCATATTGTTTACATTCTTTTGGAATGTTCCATTTGAGACCCAGGCGGTAGAGATGGGCAGCACATATCTAGAATCGACTTATCAAGATCAAAAATCCCACTTCGTCAAGAAATCAGCTCCCATTCGGTTCTCAATTCACTTATTGCTATGTAATGTGCTAAAGGACGGGCCTTAATGTCCTTAGTACACTCTTTCAATCTATTAAGTCATTTCATTACTCATATCTGGGATATGTACAACATTCTATGGCCAAAAATGAAGAAAAAACACAATTTTCTGCAGTCTCGGGCGCGGCCATCATCGATTGGATACCAATCATCATCAAAGAGACTAGTTTTGCTCGAGCGGTTTTCAAGCTGCTACCTGCGAGTGCTGGCGAATGATTTGGTGAAGAAACGGAGAAAGCTGGCTTAGCCTGAATGAAAGTAGTTGGCCATTTCATAGAGAATGAGAGATTACAATAGGGAAAATTCACCAACTTTGACTTATTATTTCGCATAGATTGAAGAGAGGTGATAGAGATTTTATTTTTTATATCGATCGAGTGTGTCGAGCTGTGCATAAAACCATTTCGATATTTTGACCTATCCCCGTATCATAGAAAATAGAGCTAATTTTCGCAGGTGTATATTTTCGGTTTTAGTTACAATTTTGCTGATCATTACTCAAAGAGAATAGACGCGACTTTATGGTCTTCACACTGGGGCACAGGAAGACCCCCACTAACATCACCAATCACCACCATTTCCATCCAAACCCTAGACTCGCTACAATAGGTGGCTGAAAATTGACCAAAAATGACCTGAAAATGGCAAAATTGGCCAAAAATCAACCTGAGGCTGTTTCTCAATAACGGTGAAATTTTGAGATCGGCCCTCCTGGCTGTGAGGAGTCCATAAAATTCCCCCGAGATGAACTTGATCTGCAGACCCCCACCTTCTACGTGGTTTTCTAGTGGAATGACTCTTAATTATTCTTATCCATAAGTGGTTTTTCGTTTGAATTCATTGAATAACTCTTCCATGGAGTACAAATATTATGTTCACCAATTTTCCTTTTCTTCAGTAAACAATGTGTGAAGCCGTGGCTATTATTGGTGTTGGTTGTCGTTTTCCTGGAGCTGATAATGTTGACGAGTTTTGGAGGGTACTACGTAATGGCGAAAATCACGTGATAGACGTTCCACCAAACCGTTGGAATTTAGAAGCATTTTACGATCCTGATCCTACACTAGCTGGAAAAACACACGTTAGACGAGCAGGTTTTGTTGAGGGGTATGTTAAATCTAAAATGGGTTTGTAATTGTATGTTCTCGTTCGTGTTTGGTGATTATGAACTGCAGCTTATTGCATGGAGGGGGTCACGGTGGGCAAGACGCTGGCTCGCTAGCCTGGAGGTCGGGTGTTCGATCCCTGCATTGGCCAAGAAAGTTCATCCAGATCTTCCGGCGTGGTTTCCCCTTGTCAGTGATGCAGGACAAAGCTTGACAGCTGTCTAGTCGTTCGGATGGGAATTCGATATAAGAGTAGGCCCTAATGCCACTGTCCGGGCAAAATTTCCCTCATAGCACACTGTATGGGTTTTCAATGTCTTCATTAGCCCAGATCGGAGCAGAACACTAGGACGTTAAACCACATTTCATTTCATTTTCTTGCATGGAAACACTAAATATATAGTTTAATATATAAGCCCAGTTTGAAAAAAACCCCAAAAAACAACAACTTCTGATATTAGAACGAACAAGTAACTCGACCAATCACATAAAATAATCAATTGTACTAATATCGTATTCTTCTCTGCATGCATACAAATGTATGCTCTATTTATATAACAAAATCCCAAACGCCCATGAAGGGCAGTGAGTCACATAGTTTGAAGCTTATAATTTTTAGACCTATTTTTATTTTTATTATGTCTACCATATTTACCATTATTAAGTCACCATTACCTAATGCTTATATGAAAAAAAATAAAAAATTATACACTCAAAGCCATTAAACAAAGCGGGGGTCAGCTGAAGTCAATATCGGGTATGTCCACCCTGAGCTCTTACACATGCATGACGTTGCCTTGGCATGGACTGGCACAGATGTCTCACTACACGTGTTGGGATTGTTTGCCAATGATTTTGGTGTGCCTGTGCCAACTTTAACTTCTGTTATAAAGGGCAAAATGTTATTATTATTATTATTATTAACTCTGCAACAGTTTGTTGTGGCACGGCTTGAGTTTGAACCCGTTGCCCAAGTTCATCCCAATGGTGTTCGAGCGGATTCATGTCGGGAGACATAGCGGGCCAATCCATAACACAGACGTGATGATTGTTCAGAAACACCTGGCAGTGTGGGGTCGGGCGTTGTCATGCTGGAAAACCATCTGTCGACGGACGCCATGTTGTTCCAGCAATGGAAGCAACACCTGACGAAGGATGGCGTCAACATAGTGTTGAGCGTTGAGATTGCCTTGTACCACCACCAACTGGGACCGGAAGTTGACGTTGATAGCGACCCAAACCATGACGCCACCTCCCCCGAAACGACCGCTTTCCAGCACGCAGTTACGAGCAAAGCGTTCATGCCGACATCGATAGATACGGTGACGTCCATCAGGAAAACCGAGGTTGAATCGGGATTCATCCGAGAAGATGATATTTCGTCATGGTGTGTTATGCAGATACCCCTAATTTGCGATCCATTGCTGTCTGGCAAGTCAATGGCGATGCAAAAGAATTTGACCTTGCTATGGTCGACGGCAGCGTAACCCAAGAGCAGCTAGGCGCCTTCGGACTGTTTGATGGCTGATCTGACGTTGCCGTGTTCCAACAGTTCCCCTGGCAGTATCAGTAGCTGACTGGAACATGTAGTCGGATGTGGCGATCTTGAGCAGCGGTTGTTACAGGTGGCGCTCCAGGTCGGGGTCGATCGGCAACTCTTCCAGTGGCGTGAAGGCATTGTCTGAGGCGAGCAATGGTTCATGGGTGGATATTAAACAGTCTGGCGACAGCTACCTGTGAAGCCCCCTTAACCAGCATGCCAATAGCTGTGTTCCTGTTTTCTTGTGTAAGGCATGGCATTTTTCCGAAGTGATGAATGTTGAAATTTTGATCTGTATTTAAAGGGCCAGAGTGCAGGGAATGCACGTGCAAAATGTGTAACATGGGACTTCTTAAAATCGTGAAAAAAGACAAGTGTTGCATTTGCACAAACAAAGTTCATTACCAAGAACTGATATTGGGTTCAAACCCAGAACTCCAAAAAAGAGACCCATCACAAGAAAACGTTTACTAAAAATATTTCCCGAATTAGGCATTGCGTTTTTAATGGCTCTGAGTGTATGAACTTAATCTTTGTATTTAATGAAATGAAGCATTCCAAACCGCCAATGAGGATATAATTTTAAAAAATCAAATTTTCTTTATAATACTCTAGTCACGACAAATGGGATTTTAAACTGTATGGCGTCAATGAATTTGAAGCTCGTAAAATGGACCCGCAACACAAGTTTGTATTAGACGGTATTTTTATGGCTTTAGAGAATGCTGGCATAAGTAAACAGCAAACAAGTGGATCTAACACGGGAGTATATATCGGTAATTATTATTATAAAGTAATACTATCGTGTATGTGTGTGTGTGGGGTGGGGGGGGGGAGGCACTTGCACACCAACAATTGCTGGACCATCGGGTTTTCGAGGACCACAATTAGAGACTTTTGGCAAGCGTAAATTCCTGATCCGTATCGATTTTGTGTGTGACGTCATCAATGTGTGTGTATTTCTCATACGTGATATGGCAGCACGTATCGAACAACTTTCATACGGAAAAAGGTCCGTATAACATTGTCGTCATTTCACAGTCCTCAGTGCTACTTTTAGTCGCTGAATTGTTGTATCGTACCGTTTTTATGAACCAGTTTGTAGCATAGAACACAAAGGTATATATTAGATCTGATTTTATCAATGATAAAAACTGGGATTTAATCATTATTTTTTATGGGTTTTTCTCGGAATATTCATACTTTTCTTGTCTGTCTGCCTACATGCTGGTTGATCTACATGCTATATTTAGTGAGGTGGGACTTTGCAAATCTGTAAATGATTAACGGGTATAAACTTTCTGAAATGATACATTACTGAAACCAAAAATTGCTGTCGAGTTGAAGTTGAAGATTTTTTTAATAAGATCTGACATTAAAATTTTTTTTAATAGCTCAGCGACTGTCGAGCAACTTCACTCTCTCCGGGAAATTGTAGGCTAGGTGCTTGACTAGTACTAATGGTGATCTTGGTAGATGTCTGCCATCATGCTGTAATAGAACTCAGCTCAGCGCGATGCATACGTACGCGACGCGAAAATCTGCCAAAATTCTAAAACTATATTGACGTAACGTATACGATACGGATACGGATGTGAAAAATTCCGCTTGCCAAAAGTCTCTAATTAGTTTCCAACTCCTATCGAGTCTATTTTTAGAATAATATCGCGACAGTGCTTGGTTAGCCGTAAGATATCAAACCCGTTTGGTAAAGGAGTGCGTCTCCCCCCCCCCAACCCCAGATCACCTCTCGGGTCAGTTCAAATTCACACAGCTCAGTTGAATACTAAGTCTGATTGTAGACTAAGCATGCATGGATGTCTGGACGAGTTCCAAATTATGCTATCTAATACTAGAATAATTTAGTACATATCACACGATTCAACCAACCAGTCCGATTATCCAATTAAATGATCCCCACTTGTTTATATTATTTTAAACGACACAGACAAATGGGTTGGAAGCCTAAGGGTCTATGCAAATAAGCATTTTAAAACGGCAAATCTTTAGCCGTCTCTCTGTTCACCATTAAACGGAAGCAGTTGCTCCGGAGATACAGCACTGCGCAGGACCACCCGAGATCCTCTTTGTGCTCCGGTCCCCGACGACTATATAAAGGGAACATCCGCATTATTTCATTTAAGCCTGATGAGTTCGAAATGAACGAAACTAGTTTGAGAGAAATCTGGCACGGCTACTCCCCACTCATAGATTTCTAATTCTATTTATACTCACTGTGGAGTAACTTTACTAGCTAAGAATTTCATAACTTCGGTCACCTCAAACGAGAAACCGAACCCAGAGTGTGTAATGGAGGGTCGTCAGAATTTGAAACACTTGTCTCTGAAGACAGTGAAAAACTGAACGTGTGTGAAATAAAGGTCTTCAGATTTAGTGGTGTTAGTGTGTTACTTTGGTTCTCTTTTGGATGTAATACGTTTAATATTCAAGAGAGTGTTATTGCATATTATCTTATGCCACGGATATGAACATTGTAAATTTTTCTATTTGTCACTGACACGAAACTGGCATGAAATTCCCTATTTCTTTTAGGTATGACTACCTCTGATTATGCCAAAATTTTCTCTACCGTTGCCGAGGAAAGCGATAATTATACATTGACTGGTACCAGTAATAGTATTGTAGCTGCCCGGGTGTCGTATGTGTTCAATTGGACCGGTCCATCAATGATGATAGACACCGCCTGTTCATCATCTCTGGTTGCTGTCCATCTAGCTTGTCAAGCTTTACGATCAGGTAGGTTTACATAAATGTAATTTGTTGAAATAAGTGCAATATTTTTGTTTTACTGATGAATTCTTTTGTAAAGCAAAGCATGAAATATTCCATGATGAGCATAATACAGAAACCAAGCACAAAACCAGGGCTCAAAATTCAAACAAAATCGAGAAACAGGAAATAATAAATAATAATAATAATAATGTTTCCTCAGGAGAATGTGATATGGCTATAGCAGGTGGGGTCAACTCACTGATGACACCAGATATATTTATACAACTAAGTAAAGCTGGTATGATATCGCCTACGGGAAAATGTCAGGCTTTCTCTGAAAATGCTGATGGATACGCCAGGGGTGAAGGGTGTGGCATTATTATCTTAAAACCACTAGAACAGGTATATAATTTTTATATTTGAAATGTTTGTATAACTTTTATATTTGAAATGTTTGTATAACTTTTATATTTGAAATGTTTGTATAACTTTTATATTTTGGCTTTGTAGCTAGACCAATCATTAATTCGTAACACCCCACCCCCAACAACCTTCTGTTACTTTTTCAGTCCTTCATTCCCTGTTAAGTCCATAAGAATGTGCTGAGGTACACGTTATTTACAAAATAGAAAACTTTCGATAACTTTATATGCTGTTTACTTGATATTATTTGTGTTTTTGGTAGGCTTTGAAAGATAATGATCCTATCTGGGGGACTATTGTTACAGCTGTCAACCATGATGGCCAAACAGTCACACCAATCACAGCACCATCTCCCCAGCAACAAGAATCACTACTCGACATAGTGTTTGACAGATATAGAATTAATCCAGAATCAGTAGACTATATCGAAGCACACGGTGAGTTAAAGATCAATGCAGCTTTTTTATACACCCACATTTTCATGTGGACTATATTGTCACCCCTGCACGTCCGTCCACGATATTGGCATGTATCAGATCGTAACTTTTTGAATTATGTCCCCTGATTGTACGAAAAATCGCGCGTTTAGCTTGTGGTCCATCTAGAAGTCACAATTATTATCTGAATTAAAAACAACGTTCGAATATATAACCGTTACACCGTAATGTTGGTTGAGTTCTAATTTCATGAAAATCGCACCAAAACTGCCAGACAAAATGCCCCACCCCCTCCCGTACGCAAATAGTGTAAACATCTGGTATATCGAGGTAAATCAAGGTTGTGGGCGTATCCTGCCTGGCAGCCGCTGGTTCAATCAGATAATAATTATGACCTCTAGAGGGGCCACAAGCTAAAAACGCGATTTTTCGTACAATCAGGGGACATAGTTCAGGAAGTTAAGCTCAGATATGCGCAAATATCACAAGCAACCAAGACCTGTGAGTTATAAACATGCATTTCAAGTTCCATGAAAATCGGATCAAAATTGTTACCTCTATAGGGTCCACAACCTTGATATACCATATTCTTACGCTATTTGAGAACGAACGGGCGCCATTTTGTTTGTCAATTTTGGGCCGATTTTCACGAAATTCGAACTCTGTCGTCCTTAGGGTGTAACGGTGATATAATAATACGGTTTTTTTTTAAATCGGATACAAATTATGACCTCTATAGGGTCCACAAGCTAAAAACTCGATTTTTCGTACAATCAGGGACCATAATTCAGGAAGTTACGGTACGATATGCGTGAATATCGAAAGGATCCGAGATCTTTGGGTTATAAACTTACATTTTAAGTTTCAACAAAATCGGATAAAAATTGTGACCTCTATAGGGTCCACAACCTTGATATGCCATATTCTTACGCTATTTGAAAACGAACGGCGGCCATTTTGTTTGTCAATTTTGGGCCGATTGTCACGAAATTCGAACTCAGTCGTCCTTAGGGTGTAACGGTGATATAATAATACGGTTTTTTAAATCGGGTAAAAATTATGACCTCTATAGGGTCCACAAGCTAAAAACGCGATTTTTCGTACAATCAGGGCCCATAATTCAGGAAGTTACGGTCCGATATGCGCGAATATCGAAAGGAATCGAGATCTTTGGGTTATAAACTTACATTTCAGGTTTCAACAAAATCGGATAAAAATTGTGACCTCTATAGGGTCCACAAGCCAAAAACGTGATTTTTCGTACAAACAGGGGCCATAATCCATGAAGTTTCGAAAGCAGCCGAGATCTTTTCGAGATAAACCTATATTTCAAGTTTCGTCAAAATCGGATAAGAATTGTGACCTGTAGAGTGTCCACAAACAAATTTTGGACGGACGTCCGGACGGACAGTGGCGACGGCATAATACGTCCACATGAAAATGTGGGTGTATAAAAAACTGTTCGAACGTATCACCGTTACACCGTAATATTGTTTGAGGTCGCTTTTGTGAAAATCGGACAAAAACTGCCAGACAAAATGGCCGCCCCTCCACGCAAATAGTGTAAACATCTGGTATATCAAGGTTGTGGACCCTTTAGAGGTCACTATTTTGATCCGATTTGATAAAACTTGAAATGCATGTTTATAACCCAAAGATCTTGGTTGCTTTCGATATTTGCGCATATCAGATCGTAACGTCCTGAATTATGGCCCCTGATTGTACGAAAAATCGTGTTTTAGAGGTCACAATTATTATCTGATTTTCAAAAACGTTCGAATATATCACCGTTACACCGTAATGTTGGTTGAGTACGCAGATTGTGTAAACATCTGGTATATCAAGGTTATGGACCCTCTAGAGGTCACAATTTTGGTGCGATTTTCATGAAACTTGAAATACATGTTTATAACCCACAGATCTTGGATCCTTTTGATATTTGCGCATATCGGATCGTAACTTCCTGAATTATGGACCTTCATTGTACAAAATTAAGAGGTCACAATTTTTGTCCGATTTAACGAAAACTAAGATCTTGGTTCCTTTTGATAATCGCGCATATCCTAACGTAACTTCCTTGATTATGGCCCCTAATTGTTCGAAAAATTGCATTTTTAGCTTGCGGATTCTCTAGATGTCACATTTTTTTTCCGATTTTAAAAAACGTTTAAATATATCACCATTCCACCATAATGAAGGTTGAATTCGAATTTCTGGAAAATTGAAATGAAACTGTCCATCAAAATCGCCGCTCTTTGTACGCAAATTGTGTAAAAATATGTAATACGAAGGTTGTGGACCCTCTAGAGGTCACAATTTTTATCCGATTTGATGAAACTTGAAATGTATGTTCATAACCCAAAGATCTCTGTTCTTTTCGATATTCGCGCATATCGGACCATATCTTCCTGGATTGTACAAAAAATCACATTATATTTTTAACTCGTTCTCTGTCCATCTCTTGCAAAATGTGGGCGTATCTTGCATGACAACCGCGTGTTTTAAATAACGCGGTCTTACTCTTTTTGGAACACCTGCTGTCATTTCTTAGTTGAGAACTTCACTTAGCTGACACTTTATTGTTGTGCAAACCACAAAAACGAATTTACTAAAAGCCTCGAGATTGTTGTAAACAAGATTTTATCATATACAAATGTTAGGGCGTACTATATTCAAACTTGTATATATTCACTGGCTCAGGTAATATATACGTGTATATGACATTATGTAATTGGTATTATTTTGATTAATTCCTATTGTAGGGACCGGAACCAAAGCAGGTGATCCAGTAGAAGTAACAGCTCTTGGTAAATTCTTTCAGAAAGATACAAATTCCAAACAGAGACTAATAGGATCTGTAAAAACTAACATTGGACATCTAGAATCGGGTGCTGGTGTAGCTGGTCTAATTAAAGTTTTACTGATGCATAAACATCGGGAAATCGTCCCATCCCTCCATTTTGATAAACCCAGTGAGAATGTTCCTCTTGATAAATATAACCTGAAGGTACCAACAGAAGTTCAGCCCTGGCCCAAAACCGATAATGGGTATATGCGATCTTGTGTAAATAGTTTTGGTTTCGGTGGTACTAACAGCCATGCTATTATCACAACCCACATGAACCCGTCAAATGAATTAGAAAATTATGACACCTCAACATCTCAATTACCCAGGATTGTTTGCTTGTCGGCACGTGATCTCTCCTCCTTACATATGATCAAATCGGTTTTCTGCGAAACCGGAGAAGCTTATAAAATTGAGGATGTTTCGTATACCACTATGTATAGACGAAACCATTTCCCGTTTCGTGTTGCTGTCGTTGGCACTAACATGAAACAAATTATTCAAAAATTGAAAGAAATTGACTTAGAACACACAAACAGAACAGATCCTCTTTCTAAGAAGAAGAAAATTATTTTGGTCTTCGCTGGAATGGGAACAAACTGGAAAGGAATGTGTCAGTCTTTAATGAAACATTCTACTATATTCAAAGATACTATAAATGGTGTGTCAGATTTATTGAAACAATTTGTTTCATGGGATTTGTGTGATGCATTTCAGACCGGCTTTAACCTGGATGATCCTTATGTAGCCCCAATCATGACATTCGCGTGTGAAGTTGGTGTATATGCTATGGTCAAAGAATTTGGTGTAGTGGCAGATGCTATCGTTGGACAATCTATAGGTGAAGTTGCAGCAGCGTATGCATCCGGAGCTCTTACCCTAACACAAGCAGTTTGTGTTATTTATCATAGAACTAAATATCAAGCCGAAGCAACAGGGGGTAAAATGTTTGTAGTCAGAAATATGAAGATTGCTGACGTAAAGTCTTTAATGGAGACATTTAAAACACAAGCAAACATATCCTTGTTTTACAACCCATCCTGTTGCACAATCAGTTGTGATGATGAAGTCGTTCATTTGATCAAATCTCGGTTGAAAGAAATAGAACGCCGTGTAGAATTCATGGATTTAAATGTGACAAGCGCATTTCACTCACACCATATGAACGATTGTGCAAAGAAGTTGGCTACTGCCTTTACTCTTGACGGAACTCCACCTACAACGCCAATAGTATCATCGGTAAGCGGGAAAATGGCCGTTGGTGCAGATTTCATCACGTCTGAATACTGGGCGAAAAACGTCAGGAACCCAGTGTTGTTTCACCAGTCTATAGTAGAAGTTCACGAACCCGATAAAATTAATATATTTATAGAAATTGGACCGAAGCCGATTTTAAAGGCGCACATTAGGGAAATCTTTGAACAACATCTTGCTGCTATTGCCATACCAACAATACAGAAAGATGGTGAAATGATATCTATAACAAAGGCTGCAGCATCTCTATATGAGTATGGAGTAAATATTAAATGGGAGGATGTTCTAAAATGTTTAGGAAAAGTTCTGGAAGTTCCCCGATACCAGTTCAATCGGGTTCCAAATTGTTACATTCCCAATATAGCAAGAGAAACACTCATGGGTTTTATTTCTAAAACACACCGTCATCCATTTCTGAAATTACTCGGTTCAGATTCTAGAAATTATAAAGTTCTATTAGACCCGACTCGCGTTGGTTCTATCTATGAACATAGAATAAATGGGATAGTGGTGATACCTGGTGCATTCTATGCAGAAGTGGGATTAGCTATTGCTGCCACAAAATCTCCCCGCTCATTATTCGAAGAAATCAGTGTTGACTTTAAAAACCCACTTGTTTTGATGAACCGAAAACCGAAAGAGCTTGATGTAGAAACAGAAAATATAAATCAGGAGATACAATTCAGGGTCTTTAAAGGAACCAAAGCTTATGCTACAGGTACTATTAAATCTTATCCTAGTGGATCTGCTGTTGATAATTTAGATTTAGATTATATCCGAAGCAGATGTAGTAGTTTGCTAACACCAGAAGACATATACACTAATTTAGCTTCTTATGGCTTTCAATATGGAAAGGCAATGACCATTTTGAAAAGGGGCGTAAAGAATAACAATAGCAACGAGGCTTTAGTGGAATTTAAGTTGAATGGACTTCTAAAAGAAGAAATGGAAGGAACGATACTGCACCCGGCTATAATAGATGGTCTCCTTCAAACACCTAGCGTTTTCGGCTCAAACGAATACGACTTTAAACTGCTTCCTGCCCATTTGAACCAAATTCGGGTCTTGCGGGAAGTACAAGATCAAATGTTTTGCTATGTTAAGAATCTAACAAAAACACCAACAACGTCAACTTACTTAATCCATCTTTGTGCTGACAATGGTGACATCATAGCTAGTATTTTGGAATTCACTATTAAAGTCATTGGCATCAATCGGGAGAAAACTAAAGAATATTTTTACAAACAAAATTGGAAAAAAGTTCTTCTCGTCGACCATAACACAAGTTTTCACGCGAGCGGCGGTAACATCTCGCAAGACGAAGGCCCTTGCTGGATTATTATGGAAAACAATATTAACTTATCGGCGGATTTCAGCACCCAAATTAAAAAGCACAAAAATATAGCAATAATGATGGACGAATTCAAAGATCAAATAGTTAATAAGCGTGACATACAGACTTTTGTGGAAACAAAATTATTCCGACTCCGAAATATTTTAATACATCTTCACGAAAATACTGAAAACTGCAGGGTTGTAGTTATTACGAGGAACACCTGGACTGTTACTACCGATAAAAGCAACTATGCTGAAACGTCAAATTGTAACCCAATTCAAGTTTCAATATGGGGATTTCTTAGATCAGTTCAAAGAGAAACCATGTCTTTTCAACTCTACATTGTTGATTTTCAGGATTATAGTAATGAGCAGATATCCGAGACCGGAATCTTGGAATTTTTAATGTGTGAATTTTCGAACAATCTTAAAAACCAGGGTGAAATTCTGGTCACAGCGGGTGCAGTATATTCATTCGAATGTACGGGCTTTTATGAAATGAAAGATTACATTGAACGAGACCAGTCCTCATTAGGCGATTTTGAAATGTTTTCTTCACAGAAAGATAATATACAAGATCGTTTTCAAATGTATCCTTGCCATGAAAGAGGAAATGCTAACCCAATTAATACAGTTGTAATGCGCGTGGACTTCTTGGTTGTCCAAAATCCAGATTTATACCCCTATTGTTTCGATTCCCAAGAGCAAGAAGACACCGACGAACCAACCAAATTTCCTATCTATTGCCTCGAGACGCATTGCTATGAAGAAAACAATCAAAATGATTTTTATATATCATGCTATCCCGTACATGCATCAAACAGGATAAAGGTACCTAAATCCTGTTGTATACCACTGTCACTATTACCCGGGTACCACCCTGGATTAATAACAATCTTCGTAACTATGTGGCATATATGTGAGCATATAACATCCAAGTCTGTTGTCTTATTTTGCGAAGATAACACTTCATTATATGAAGAAATTATATGCTTAATGCTGCGATGTAGGAAAGTTAAAACTACTCGAGTTTCTCGAAACACCAACAATCTAACAACTGAATGCGACTTAATAAATCTAACACGATTAGACAAAAGTATAATTCTACAATTTGCTAAAGTGAGAAGATTTACTAGCCTTTCTGCTCTTGTGACACAAGACTGCTTACGTCTATTATATCACCACATGCGAGATTCGGAAATTGAAGTTTTAAGGGAATTGGACATATTTTCACACAGAAAGCTCACATCTACCATGCCAAAGATGACAAAATGGTTGCAGAATTCAACTAAAGCTGTAGAAATTATTATAAATGATTATGGAGCATTCACGGAATCTGCAGATTATCTGACCAAGTTGTTTTCTCCAAAGAATATCAGTTATCACCAATCACCATTACGCTTAAGACCACCAGATCGAATACTCAATAAATCGGCTGCTTATGTAGTTGTTGGTGGTTTAACTGGACTTGGGTGGCAGTGTGTTAAATGGCTGGCTGAACATAACGCTGGGGTTATTGCTTGTTTCAACAGCAGAAATCCCACACCGGACGACAAGAGGAAAATGGAAATATTATCCGATAAATGCTGTTGTCAGATTATTGCTGTAAAAACAGACGTAACAATTTTTATTTCTTTGGAAGGGTCGTTTGAAGAGCTCATGTGCCAATTCCCGATGAACACCATTAAAGGCGTGATCTTCGGAGCAGGTGTATTGAGAGATTCTACATTGATTAACATGACGGAGGAACAATTAACAAAAGTCTTAGATCCTAAAATTGCTGGGGCTTGGAACATGCACTTAGCAACAGAAACCAAACAAATTAAATTAGATTTCTTTATTCTTCATTCTTCAATAACATCAGTATTCGGGGCACCAGGGCAGAGTAATTATGGGGCGGGAAATGCTTTCCAGGACAGCTTAGCATTTTATCGCCGATCAAAGGGATTACCCGCACAAAGCATAAACTGGGGACCTTTAGACATGGGAATGTTGGAAAATGTCAATGATAATTTGCGTAATAGACAAAGACTAGAAAAGCAAGGTTACCGTCTAATTTGCAAAGACGATATTGGACATTGCCTAGAATCTGCCATTTTATCAGATCTTCCACAGATTATTGTAACTGATCTAAATTTAGAGCTCCTTAAAACTACTCTGTTGGGGAACAAAGACATGTTTGCCATAGAAAAGCTTCGTGGTACATTACAGAAATCTGGAAATATCACTGAAGTAACTGCGGACACAAATTCTGAAACAATACAAATAAGTACCCACGTTTTACAGTCAGCAACTACCGAAGAAAGAATATCAATGATCGAATCTTACATTTCTCAATTAGTATGTAAAGTTCTGATTTTAGATGAAAACAGTTTATCGTCGAACACCTGTCTAGTGGATGAAGGAATGGATTCAATGTCAGCTATGACAGTTGTGAACGAAGTAAAGAAGAATATTAGCTCCACAATACCTATTAGTTTATTATTTTCACCAGATACAACTGTAGCTAGTCTTTCAAGTTTTATAAATGAGAATATCAGGAGTAGCAATAAGGTTGACTGTCAAGATGACAACGTTAACAACCAACAAACCATATCCCACATGGAGTACAGATATTACAAATTAAACCAAAATCCACAAGCTTGCAAAGCATTCCACCTATTATTTGATATGGAATTTTCAGATTTAAGCCTGGATAAAGAGAAAATGAACAGTTTGTTGTTGGAAATAACGAACAGAAATCCTATTCTTAGAACAACTTACTCAGGAGTATTGCGTCCAGGAGGCTCAAAAGAGGACATCAAACGAAATCTGATTGAAGCAAACCAAGCACTTGATCTGATTGTAATCGACAAAGACACTCGAAACATCGATGAAGCATTTGAAAAGGAAAGTATGGAACACTTTGATTTGAAGTCCAAAGGACCCGTCCGTTTCATATACCACACAAATGGTTCATCTATGCGAATCGCCATTATATGCAATCACATAGCATTTGACATACAAGCGATGAACATGTTATTGAAGGAATTCATAAACTGCTTGAAAAGTGCCTGTATGTACGGCGACCTTAAACATCTTCCAATACCAACATCTGAAAATAATAGATTGGCAGCGAATATAATGCATGGGGAACTAGAATCATCATCTAGTGCGATGAAGAGTTTTTGGAAAGAGGAGCTATCTAAGGGCGTCCCGTTGATTTCTATCGATTCTCCCAAAAGATGTGACTTACACGGTCTGTCAGTTACAGCTCATAGACAATTATCTGGAGTACTACACAATAATCTAAGTAGACTAAGCAAGACACTACGGACAACAACCCCTAAGATAATGATGTCTATGTATTAGCTGTTTTTGAGTCTTCGGTCTGGAAATCGTAGAGTATTTATTATTCTACCCGAAGACCTTCGGGGGTTATTACCAGCTACTAAAAACTTTATGGAATGCTTAATAAACCATATTCCAATTTTTGCAGATATAGAACATTCCATGTCCGTGAAAGATTTTCTTGTTACTAACTCCAAACACGTCAATGACATTCTTGATAACAGTCTGTTTCCCTATGATGAAATAGAAAAACTTATACCTAAGGATGCTAACAAAGACTTGTACCGCCATGTTTTGACTTTTAACGATTATTCATTTGTTGACCAATTAACAGCAATGAAGGATGGAATTGAACTGCAAGTGAAAGAAACCAATAATGAACATATTTTTGGCGAATCCTTTTTATTCGTTTTCACTAATTTTAATGCCCAAACAACGTCACTAAAGCTGCAGTTGTGTGCAGAGATGTACAGTCAATCTGATGTAGAAGATCTTATTGACCAAATTATTGAACTTTTACAAGAAATGGTTGATCAGCCCGAAATTAAAATCGGACAGCTAAAAATGGCAGCACCTAAAGAACATTAGAGGGTATGTTGGTTTTCATCTTTGTCTGTGAAAGGTAACTGAAACATGTAGCAGTGTAAAAAAAACTATTTTAAAAAGTTTTAATTATATACTGTGTGGTTCCGATATGCGTTGCTAGACTTTGTTATGCCAATAAGATTCAGAATATTATTATAGTCAATTATGGAAAATGAACACAATATATTATCATTGCAGGGAAATTCTGACGAGAAACATCTACAAGAATGTGACAAATGATGGTGTAAAAAGAATTTAAGTGACGGCATTCAATGTTATTTTAAAGAAAGGGAAAGTAATAGGCTGGTATGAGTACTTCGAATTTACGTAAGCGGGGGGGGGGGGGAATCCGGAACAAACGATTCTTGCTTTTTATGAAAGGTCTATATGAGTACAACTTCAGGGGAAAAAAATCCACCGAAAATCGGCCATGGGCAAAAAGAGTTATAGGCGTTTTGGTTTTCGTACCCATTCGACTTATCAATCCACCATTTCGTCTCTTTTTCTTTGGCATTCCGAGGATATATTTGTGCATCACAAATGCCTATCCGCTATTAGACAATCGACACAAGTTAGTAGATTCCCATGTTGGGAAATTCTGATTGTAAAGACATCCATGATTGCCCCACCCAAAAGGCTAAGTTAGATCAGCGCATTTACTAGGCGCCTCTAATTGCCCCACACCCATATGCAAAATTTTCAGCAAATTTACATGTATCAAAAGACCACCTTCAGACATTTCAGTGGTGGGCGTTCTCCGCAGGCCTGGGCGATTTATCTACTACTACTCAATACTAACTAAATGCTACCTCATTATTGTGGGAAACTACCATAATACTTCAATTATGTTGGGTGGTATTGGGTAAACTTCCTGTCGTCCCCTCCAGACGCTCCTATTTCCCCAACACCAAAGGCTAAGAGAGAGAGAGAGAGACATGGGGTTTAACATCCACTCGACACAACTAGGTCATTTCGGGACTAACATATGGTTTAATTTTATTTCAATAATTCGCCTGCGCATAGGGGTCTTTAGCAGTGGGAGGAAACCCACGAGGTTGGACAGGCGACCCTACTCTTTGTCACGTACAACCGGGGATTCAAAACCACGCCAGTCGACTCAATGACAGACTTTATGATACAGCGCGCGCTAACCATTCAGCCACCGGAACGTAACTTCCTGACTTTTGGCCCCAGATTGTCCGAAAAATCGCCCTTTTTAGCTTGTGGTCCCTCTGGAGATCACAATTATTATCGGATTTAAATAAAAACGTTTGATTATATCACCGTTACACCGTAAGGAAGGTTGAGTTAGAATTTCGTGAAAATCGGACCAAAATTACCGGACAGAATGGCCGCCGTTTGTACGCGAATAGTGTAAAAATATGGTATATCAAGGTCGTGGACCCTATAGAGGTCACAATTTTTATCCAATTTTGTTGAACCTTGAAATGTAAGTTTATAACCCAAAGATCTCGGTTACTGTCGATATTCGCGCATATCGGATGTAACTTCCTGAATTATAGCCCCTGATTGTACGAAAAATCGCGTTTTTAGCTTGTGGATCCTATAGAGGTCATAATTTTTATCCTGTTTAAAAAAAAACGTTTGAATATATCACCGTTACACCCTACGGGTGGTTGAGTTCGAATTTCGTGAAAATCGGACCAAAACTGACAGACAAAATGGCCGCCCCTCGTACTCAAATAGCGTAAAAAAATATGGTATATCAAGGTTGTGGACCCTCTAGAGGTGACAATTTTCGATATTCGCGCATATCGGAACGTAACTTCCTGAATTATGGCCCCTGATTGTACGAAAAATTGCGATTTTAGCTTGTGGACCCTATAGAGGTCATAATTTTTATCCGATTTAAAAAACCGTATTATTATATCACCGTAAAACCCTAAGTACGGCTGAGTTCGAATTTCGTGAAAATCGGACCAAAACTGACAGACAAAATGGCCGCCCCTCGTACTCAAATAGCGTAAAAAAAATATGGTATATCAAGGTTGTGGACCCTCTAGAGGTGACAATTTTCTTCTGATTTTGATGAAACTTGAAATGTAAGTTTATAACCCAAAGATCTTGGTTCCTTACGATATTTGCGCAATATCGGATCGTAACTTCCTGAATTATGGCCCCTGATTAGCTTGTTCTCTATCCATCTCTTGCAAAATATGGGCGTATCCTGCCTGGCAGCCGCTGGTTCAGTAGTGGTGTATCCCAGCCAGAAGTCTAATTGCTCCACCCAAAAACTAATGTAAATTACCACATGGCTAACGTATTAAATGTATCTGAAAACCATCAACATATTCCATCGAATCATAAATGGCCACTCTCAAGTATTTTCAGTGAACATACGAACTGTAAATCGGACCGTTTCCAACAATAATTGACTGACCGCGCTCACTGTAACTCTTTATGGCGAAAACGAACGCATCCCTTGATGACCCTAATGATTCTGATCATGAATCCTTGACAGACGAATCCAATTCCGATCCAAAAGAGGACGAGTATACTAGTCTTTTTTTAGATGCTCACTGACTATTGAATTACCTGATACAGGACATTTCAGATGTTTATTTCTGACGAAGTGTCGATGCAAATTCTCTCGTCGCTATTATTGAAATGGTAAAGAGATCAGCGTCACCACTCACCAGCTCTCCTCCACATTACCGCCTGATACATATAACACTTTTCGCGACAGATTGAAGCCAATGCCAAACTACACATCCTGGTGAAATGCAGCCATACCAATAATATCAACCATCTAAAACTCTATCCAAGCACCTGTTAGAACATCTCAGAATGAATATATTACGAAAACTGTTATCAATCTTAGCCTCCTCACAGGTAACAACCACTCCAAAAGAGAACACGAAGCTGCAATAATGGATATAGCTGACTACGTCAGCATTGTCAACAAGACGGGTAACGAAAAAAAACCTTTCCGCTCATCAAACTTAACACCCGAAACACGTTTGGCACAACCAAAATCAACCTAAATCCGAGACTGTCTACCACAAAACAGTCCAATACCTTTCGAATTTTTATTCTTACTGGACTCCAAAGACTTTTGTAATAACATCAACGTAACTCCCCCCCCCCTACACCCCCTACTCTTTACTAGACCAGCGTAATGGTAATAAGTTCACTATATATACAGAAAAAATCGAAAAATCCGAAAACTACTGTAAAGTACCTAAAAAAAAAATTGATACCCGAAATACCAAAAAATCACTAAAATACCGAAAAAACAACACTATTTACCGAAAAAAAACCTAGGCCACACATAAAAATTGTTTTGTGGGTCATGGGTCAGGCTAGGTCACGCATAAAAAAAAGAGAAAAATTGGTCATGGGCAAGGGTAAGGGTGAGTAAGACGATGGCTCGCTAGCCTAGAGGTCTCGCCAGTTCGATCAAGGTGTTGGCCTAGAAAGATCATCGGGGTTTTACAAGGATTATTCATTTTGAGGTCGGATACCAAAACCAAATCGTCCGTAAAGAAATTACCCAAGGTAGATTGCGGTGGTTTCTTTTCTTGGGTACTATGTACATACCTCCTTACTAAAAAGCAAAAATCATTTGTTCGGAATTTTTTTTTTATTTGCAAAATAAAGTCTGATTTCTGAAATAGATATTATAGGTAAAATTAATTATATTTATGATATGTTCGTTAAAAAAGTATTAACATTAGTGTTACTTTGCTTTTATTTTTTTAACAAATTTTCACAAGTTGATTTCCTTTATTTTGTTAATGTAGAATGGTAATGTACTGCTCTTTTCATTTTCTTTGTTTTATTTGTTTCGTTTGAATTTGATTTATCAGTTTAGTTTTTGGTTGTTTAATTTTTGTTAATGAAGTTGATTCTTTTAAACTTCGTTTTTATTTTTGAACTCTACTTGGTGTAGGTGTTCATCAGGTAATACCTCGACTGAGTTCAATATAGAGATTAGCCGGTTGATTTGTTGGATATAAACCTTTGAATAATAGCGCCTAACAGGCAGCTGTGTTTACATATGTTCTCCTGATTTTGATTGTTTTTGTGTGTTTGAAGTATATGTTTGTGATATGCGCTTAGAAACACTTCACGTGTAATGAAGCGCTATATAAATCGAACAATAATAATAATGGTTATATTCTAGCGAGGACAAATTGATTTTTTTCTGTTTTGATATTCCTATGGGATTTACTTCGACAAAGAAGCGTCTATCCAATTTGCACAACATGTTCTAAATTAAGGGCTCTTTTTTGTTTTGTGTCTTTTTCATTCTTTTTACTCCAGTGGTGTCCCAATTACTTGAACTAGAAACAAGAAAAGCGGTATCCTGATTACATTTGTCAGAGGGCAACGTGCACACTGCACAGTTGGAAACAAAATTTAATTGATCTGTGCGAAACTGTTATCCCTGGGAACTTAGATAATTTGAAACGCACAATACTATGATATAAGTTTAATTCCTTATATTTATCTGTTAGTAGTAATGTTATCCCCCCCCCCCCGCGCACACACACTCACCCACGCACTCATATACACCCACGCCCCCCCCCCCCACATACACACAAACACCAGAGCTAGTGGAAATATGTGTATACACTTATTTGAAAAATACATTTAGGTCTACATTATTTACTTTAGGAACTGTCTCTGATCGGACGATATCCGCTGACAGTTCCAATCGCTTCCAATATAGCTGCAATATGAAAATACGTTAAATTACCGCTCTTCACCAACTCTGTTCTCAGGCTATTTTACAACGTGAATGTTTGTTTTTTGCAAAAAGGAATCATTTCTCCTCATATCTGACACAAATTTATAATAATTCAACATTATGTTCAAGTAGAGTTTAGCGATTAAATAAACATGCGGTCCCCTGCGCATGTTCGAGTCTCGTAATGGCTGATCAGTTCAAACTTATTTTGTGTATGTTTTTAATCGCAGAATTCTACTTGAAAATAGTGTTCAATTATTATAAATGTGTGTCAGCTGTGGCAAGAAATGATTCCTTTGGCAAACAAAGAAGAATCGGGCTGACAAATAGTCGGTAAGGATTCCAAAAGGTGGGGATGATAAATGGTATTTTCATATTACAGTTATATAGGGAACTGTCAGCGGATATCGTCCAATCAGAGACAGTTCCTTAAAAGGACAATAACACTCTTGCTGGCTTAACAGCTCCAAATAATAAAAAAAGTAGCCTTATTCTAAGTACTAGATGTGTTAGTGTCCTACCTGTTGTGTAAATTATCCATTAAATCCTATTTTACTTGTCCAGAGGGTTCAAAAATATTTTTAAATCCAAGTCACATTTGAACAGCTTTACGTCAGGCTTTTCAAATCATTTAGTTGAATTTTTTCAATTTTTTAAATTAGGTGTGTTAAGATGAAATTTGTATCATCAATTAATTGGAATATTGTAAAATAGTGCAATTTGTTGACCAGAATAAAGATTGGAACATATTATTCAGTTACAACAAGAGTGGTATTGAGCCTTTAAAGGAACAGGTCTACGTGTGTTGTTGAACGTGTAAAAGCGAAATATTTTCTTATCTTGAACTGTAGTACTGTATTTAAAATACATGAATAACATGTTTTATTGTAACTATTGAATAAACGCAAGACATATCGTATTCTATGTTTTATTGAATTTGAATAGAAACCGAAAACCCATTAACACCCCGCGTGGGAAACGTCTTTCAAATATTGTGAAAATGTTGAAAATAAAATTGACGTTATTATTGTGTTATTAAACATGGAGTATTCTCATTATGTTCTTCGGTTGCTAAACAACGCAATAGAAACCAGTAATGTATTATAAAATTTGTCTATAGCGTAATTCATAAATATATCTCATGTGAAAAGGCTCAACCTAACTACGGTAGTTCTACTTGTCTGGTGGGTGTAAGGGATCAATAACCAGCGGTTGCCAGGCAAGTTACGCCTACATTTTGTAAGAGATGCATAGAGAACAGACCAAAAACAAAAACGATTTTTCGTACGATCAGGGACCATAATCCAGAAAGTTATGGTCTGAAATGCGCAAATATCGACAGGGACTGGGGTCTTTGGGATATAAAGACATAGGATCTGTCAGCGGACATCGTCATCAAAATCGGATAAAAAAATTGTGACCTCTGGAGGGCCCACAAACTTTGTATTACATACATTTACACAATTTGCGTAAAAAGAAAGGCCATTTTATTGGTCAGTTTCGTTTAGATTTTCCCAAAATTCGCCTTCAGCCTTCATTATGGTGGAATGGCGATATATTTAATCGGTTTTTAAAATCAGAGAATCCACAAGCTAAAATCGCGATTTTTCGTACAATCAAGGGCTATAATTCAGGAAGTTATGATCCGATATGCCTGAATCTTGAAAGGAACCAAGATCTTTGCGTTATAAACATGCAAAATCAGATGAAAATTGTGAGCTCTGGAGTGCCCACAAGCTAAAATCGCGATTTTTCGTACAATCAGGGGTCATAGTCAATGAAGTTATGGTCTGATACATGCCAATATTGAAAGAAACCTATAATTCAAGCTTCGTTAAAATCGGATAAAAATTGTGACTGAGTGTCTACGAACAGCTTGTGGGCGGACAACATAATACGTCCACATGAAAATGTGGGAGTATAAAAAGCGGGTTCGATCTCGTCGTTGTGGTATGCATCGGGTACAGATTGGCGTAATTACGATTTGAAATCCAAAACAAGAGCAGGCCCTAAGTGTTCTGGTGAATATACTTTCTTCAAAAATCTTTTCGTAAGTCCTCTGCCATCCAGAGCTTTAAGACTAACTTAAAAACACATTTATTTCAAAAATGTTTTTGAACTGTTTTGTTGTGAATGCGGTTAGAAACACACTTGTCGCGCTATATAAATACAACAACAATGATAATAATAACAAGAACTGCTTAAAAGCAGTACTAACGTGTTTCGGTGAAATGTGTCAAGATTTATTCTAATTTCCACCAACAGCAAACACCCTGCACATGCACTGAATGTAACTAAAGTTTTGATAGAATTGTCCTTAAATTGTCTTCTTGGTGTTTAGTCAAAATCAACACTACTTTATTTGATATCAGTGATCGAATGAAAGTTTACTTCACATTGGCAACACGTGAACTGAAATGAAATGGGGTTTAACGTCCTACTGTTTTGCTCCAAACTCTGCAGGGCTAATCAACACGGGCATGCGCCATACAGTGTGCTATGAGGGAAATTTTGTCCAGGCAGCGGAACTACGGCCTGGCAACACGTTTACGAACCGTCTGACTGTTGGCAGTCAAAACAATACCTCGTAGCACTGCCGCCAGGGCAAAATTTCCATTACAGCACACGGCATGGAGAAAACTTGAATTTCTCTCTATCATTATTATGTAGCAGATAGTAGCACTACTGTATATTATACGATATCGATAATGACACCTCATGTGACGTGTTGTCATGCCAGGTCGCTTCTTGTCACATCAACAATCAAGTTACACCATAGCGTGATGAGCGAACACCATCCCAAACTTAGGCTGCCTGTCTACAGTTAGCTCCACTTGTATTCTCGAAGTAAGAAGTAGATGGATCGCTGCGTGCAGTATGGGGCGAACATCCAACATACACACAAACATCTTTGATTTTATTGTCCCCCGCCTTTCGAAGAAAGCAGGGGACTATTAAAATGGGTTCGTCCGTCTGTGTCTGTCTGTCCGTCACACTTTTTGGGACACAATACCTCTCCTTCTAATTGACCTAGAATGTTCAAACTTGGTGTAGGTGTTTATTAGGTCAATGCCTTGATAGAGTTTGAAGATGAGCATTTTCTGCTTATGGTAAGTAGAGATAAGCAATTTGATAGGTTGATGCTTTGGGACACGATAACTTTAGTTCTAATTAAGTGAGAATGAGGACACTTGCTGCATAGCTTTATTACATCAATACCTTGACTAAGTTCGATCATGAACATTTTCTGCTGAGGGTAAGCAGAGCGATAAGCAATTTGGAACACAATAACCCTCCTTCTAATTGAGCTAGAATGTTCAAACTTGGTGTAGGTGTTTATTAGGCCAATGCCTTGATGGAGTGTGAAGATAGCTGCATAGCTTTATTACATCAATACCTTGACTAAGTTCGATCATGAACATTTTCTGCTGAGGGTATGCAGAGCGATAAGCAATTTGATTGGTTGAGACTTTGGAACACAATAACTCTCCTTCTAATTGAGCTAGAATGTTCAAACTTAGTGTAGGCGTTCAATAGATGAAGCAGAGATAAGCAATCTGATTGGTTGATGCCTTGGGGCACGATAACTTTAGTTTTAATTAAGTGAGAGTGATGAAACACCGAGTATAGATTCATTATATCATTACCTTGACTAAGTTCGATGATGAGAATTTTCTGCATAGACTATAGATCGATAAGCAATTTGATTGGTCAAGACTTTGGAACATAATAACTCTGCTTGTAATTGAGGTAGAATGTTTAAACTTGATTAACATTTCAAGCTAAAGCTAAGCAGAGCTAAGCAATTTCATTGGTCGATAGTGTATAGTTGATAATCAGTTTGAATGCTTGATACTTTCGAAAAAAATAAATGTGCTATTGATTAATATGTGTCATCTATTTATTTTGGGAATTCAGCGGGGGACATCAGCCTCACTGTTGACTTGTTTATGATGTTATTTCGTTATAGTTACTGCTATAAAGACAAAGAGTGGTGTTAGAATTATAAATGGGTATTGGAGAGTAAGTTCCCCTGGTCAGCATAGTGGAGCTGGTTCATTATTCTCATACTATAAATCTAACAGTGGCTCGTGTCCAGGAGAATGTATTAATACGGAAGGTCCTACCAATGAAACTATTGTAGTACAGGTAAAAATAGTGCACTAGTTCTCTTGTTATGATTACAATGGTTTGTACTTCAAGGAGCCACGGTGGCTCATTGCGTAAAACACTGCCTCATCTAACCAATAGGTCCCAAGCAAGGTGCAGGAGTTGGCAGTGAAAGTTCCTCATGGTCTGGCAAGGAAGAGCATGTAGTGGTTCGGAAGGGTTTAAAAACTGATATCCTGTGTACACATTGGCATGGATGTACACTGTGCACGTTAAAGAACCTATGTCATTTGGAATTCTATGAAGAATAGGCAGAAATGCTGCTGTCTGGGCAAATTTTCCCCATAGCACACCTAATGGCTTAATGGTTAACACGTGCACATAATTGGGCCAGAAGGTCTGTCTTTGAGTCAAGTGGAGTAGGGTCGTCTATCTAACCGCGTGTGTTTTTTTCTGGCCCTCCGGTTTCCTACCACTGCTAAAGATCCCTACACACAACCGAATTATTGAAATAAAATTGAACCATATTTTAGTCCCGAAATTACCTAGTCTGTGTCAAATGGATGTTAAACCCTCTCTCTCTCTCTCTCTCCCTGATGGTAGAGAAATTTAGAAGTTAACCCCATATTATTTATGTAATAGAAAAGAGGAAATAAAACTGGTAACCTTAGTGACCAGAAACGAAATGGTTGATTAGATTAAATTTATCATTACGGGTTTTTTCAATATTCAATATTCAAGATATTTTTTCGACTACTTCCGGTTCTTGGATCATTGTCACCTGGCTAATGAAGACATGAAATGAAATAGGGTGAAACGTCCTACTGTTCTGCTCCCAACTGGGCTATTAAAGACAGGCATACGTCATACAGTGTGCTGTTAGGGAAATTTTGCCCGGACAGCGGCACTACGGCATACTCTTATATTTATATCAAATTCCAACTGCCAAGGGATCTTTTACGTGCACCCCAATCTGTACACGGGGCCTCGTTTTTTCGTCCCATTGGAATGACTAGACAGCTGAAAAGGGTGAACCATGCCGGAAAATCTGGATGAACTTTCTCGGCCAATGCAGGGATCGATCACCCGACCTCCAGGCTAGCGAGCTAGCATCTTACCCACTTAGCCACCGAGATCCCCAATGAAGACAGAGGATAGGATGGGGGGGGGGGGGGTAGATATATACTATTCAAAAAAAGTAGGAGATATTTGATTTTTAAGTGTTATTAAAGTCACCTAATGAAACTGACGAAGAAACAAATGACAAAATGAAATGAAGTTCACATTCATCGATTTATTCCAAATGATCGTTAGACTAAGTAAGGCACAGACTGACCATTATAAGGGTAAAATGATACCCGGGGTCAAACAGCAAAGTTACCACAGCATCACAACCAAGTCAGTAACGGGTAAATCCTCCTCTGTTTGCCAAACAAGCATTGATCCGACGTGGCATACTCCTAATGAGACGTCTAAGGTCATTTTGGTCCAGATTGTCCCATTCCTGTTGCAACGCAGCAGCAAGTTCTTGGACATTGGCAGGACGTTGTTGACGTTGACGTAACCTCTGTCCAAGCATGTCCCAGACATGCTCGATGGGGGAGAGGTCGGGACTCAGTGCTGGCCAAGGTAATGTGGTGATGTTCTGTTGTTGGAGGTAACCTGTAACGATCCTGGCCCTGTGACATCTTGCGTTGTCATCCTGGAAGATGAAACGGCGGCCATGACGTCGTGCGAACGGCACAACATGGACTGCCAAGATGTTGTCCCGGTAGTACTGGCCTGTAACACGCCCTGCAACAACATGTA